GTAATTAGACGTCATTGTTTGTCCAGTGTTCCTCCTGCTTGTTGTTCGACAGACTTATTAAGATGTTTTTATGCCGTTTTGTTTATGATGTGATCAGATGTGTGTTCTCTAAATATTATGACTATATTATTGGCTAAATTGACTTTTCAGCTTATTTCCCTCTTCATTCATTTTGTTGCAGTTATTTTTTTTCTCTTGATTGACTCATAACAAACTGTGGTCTCTAGCAGGGAGTAATGTTGTATATTGACTTTAAGGATGGAAGTATAGTATTTGAATTGCACACACACAGATTCTGTTCAACATGAGTTTGACGACTGAAGTGCTGCTATATTGCAAATAAAGCAAATGAACTTTACTTTATTGTAAAAGCACAAAGATAAACATACATATTGTACTAACAAGCGTATAATTAGCTACTTAACCACACTCGTTAGAGGCTCATTAGACTTTATAATTAACTCTAGAATAGCAGGAAGCCAATGCAGAGACCTCTGAACTAATCATGAGATCAGATTCTCGCTACAACTCCACTACTACTACTGCCACCAAGACTATTATTGATAACAACACAAATGATGCTTGTTATGATGTTTGTAAATTGTTTGTAGTCCACTAATCTTAAAATGAAATATGGCTGGTGGTCAGCTGTCTTTGCGTTCGTCTCGTCTGATGTTAAAGCCACTCAGACCTCGTATAAAACATCCATCCGTCAGTTTCCATTGAGTCGGACTGTGACACTTTCAGTCACACGGGTTCCACTGCAGTTAACCCCAAACGACCTTTTCAACATCTCTACAGGAACCAACAAATCGAAACAAAACGTTGACCGTTTGAGCTTCATGCAAGATATGTGAACTGTTTGAAGTATCTTCCACCTGCGCCTCAAAGCTTGTATCAAGTCTAAAGCAGGTGTAATAAACTGCACCACTGAGCGTGACCGTCCCCAACACCTGGGGTGGAGTTCATCAACATGCACCTACGGCTGCGCTCTGTTTAAGTTACGGCATCTGGAAGGCTTTGCATACAGGAGGAAAGGCATCGGCTTGTGATTCCTATAATGCAGGACTGCTTTCAGGGAGTTACCATGGTGATGGAGGAGGTGGGAAAGAAGCAGCAGGTCCTGATAATCAGAGATAAACTAGGGCTCCTAATACCGTGGGATTCTGTAGAAGATAAAATCAAAGTAATACTGAAAAGGATGTAAGTCCACAAAAACATGCATGTGTGTACGATTTCACATCTACAGCATCTGGGTTGAAAGTGCATTTAATGAAATGTCGGTTTAATATCAGAACAGTTTCTGTATTTGATGTAAATTTTTCCAAATAATAAAAACCTCCATGTGTTTGTTTTGAAGAAAAGAGGTTTGAACTTTGAAGCACTACACTGTGTATTTAAATTACACAGTCAAGACACTAAAATGCTGTTTATCATGTCTTTTGTGTTTAATGCACAGACATTATTTTGTCATTCAGCTGTGTTACTGCCACTCCTGCAGTTAAACAGAAATCATACTGAGGTGTGCGATACCACAATGGAGTTAAAGCAAGATAATAACACTCAAATGTTTTATCATTATAAGCAGCTGAAGTATTATTATGTGGGAGAGAGCACAGTGCCATGATTCATGAGGTGAATGCATCATTAAAAGGATATACAGAACACATTTTCATTATCATCAAAAAATGTGTCAAACATTAAACATTTCCTTTCATTTTTCTCTTAATTTCTTCATCACATGCATGAGAAATAATTTACCACGATGCGTTTCTTATGTTCAGCCACTGCTGTTTGTTTGCAGCAGCAGCAGCAAAGAAACAGAGTGTTTCATTAACAGATGCTTTCAAGCTCAGAACATGATTGAAGACCGGGCAACATTTTTTGCAGAGACGATTTTTGTGTTGGTTGTACAGTATCGGGTTGTATTTATATTTCAAGCAGCTAAACAATAGATGTCATTTTTATTTAATAGCACATGAAAAATCACAGGAAAGGAAAACATGTAATTTAAATATCACACTGAGGGTTTGTGTCTTGTCCCGTTACCCATCATCCATGACAATGATCTTTTCCAAGACTCAACCGAGACGTTTGAGTTGGCTAAACAAAAACCAGACCTTAACTATAGGTGTAGTAATTCAGAAGCGCATCATGAGTAGTACCTGCTGGTTGTGTTGTGTCATTCAATACAAATAATGTTGCTGAATATACTTCATGATGTTATACTGTATAAGTTTTGTTCCGTTCTCCAGCAGGGCACACTTTACCCAGCAGAATAGAACTGTGAGGCTTGTTGAGTCTCCTGCTGCTTAAAAAAATATCAGTGGCAGTTTGGTAATGGCCACCCGTTCTCTCAAGCGAGTGATTTCCCTCAGTGCGCCAGCTCTGCAGAATATCTGGACCGTCCCTGAATTTTTACTGTGTTCTGTCGCTAATCGCCTCCTGGGTAGACCAAACTGAATAATTCAGAGGCTGAATAATAGGGTGCACTGAACATCAGGGAACGGGGATACTAAGAGAAAGGTGAGGCGTGACAAAAGACAACATTCATTAAAAGCTAAACAGAGCAATGCTGATTGGCTGGAAGCCCAGAGGAACGTGCCAGTGTAGAAAAACTAATTTGGTTACAAACTATGATGGAAATACAACACACATCAGGCAATTATGTAATCATGCCGGAATTACAATAACAACGAGATAAAAGCCAGAACAAAGTGTAGACGGGTCCAAGGTCTGTGGTCGCAAACATAATTCAAACAGAAAGAGGGGAAATATCAAAGTAGGTTGTTGTTTACCAAAATGTACAAAGGCACTTCAGTCAGGGTTGGCCTTGGCCTAAGTCTTCAGGGATAATCTTCTCTGTCCCAATGCATGAATAATGTAACGCAAGTGGTTGAGAAATTGCCAATGATTTATGATGGAGCTCTACATTTTGAGTCCACTTCACCTGGTGGTGGTTATATTAGATGCCTGCAGACGGGCCCAGTATAGTGTGCACTGAATGAAACGACAGCATCTGCAGGTTTCTTGTCAGATTTTATTATTTCATGTCATTAGAAGACACTGGAGCAGAGTGATGGGGTGAATAAATGCCTAAAGTCCTGTCAGCATTCAACAGAAGGATGTTCCAGTAATGTTGCTGAACAATCAATAAATCAATTGGCCGACTGAAAAAGAAATTTATATAAAAATAATGACCAACTTTGCAGCCCAACTGTTTATTATTGGAGAGAGACTAGTTTGCTGTGCCCTGTGATACGTTAAACATTCAGTGGGTAATTATATGTTTTTGTCATATTTGACTTTGTCATTTCATTTATATTCAGTTATACCGTCAGTAGTTTTATGGATCATGAGTATATTTGTTAAAGATACCTGATAATCTGACTGATTTATCCAGTTTATTCATAAACATGTAGCACAAACCGTTGTTAACCTCCGTGACGCTGTCCGTGGTGCTGAAGTCACAGACGGGTTTATACAAACTCCTCATCTGATATTAAATTGTCTCTAAAGCAAATATCAAGAGCTCTCGGGTCATTGTAAGAGACGTATTGTATCAACGTTCAAAGCGACTTCAGTTTCCTGAAGAAGTGAAGTAGCTGTTCTTAGAGTTAAATGTTGCTTAGCGATCTTTGATTTCCATTGAAACACGTTGGGATGTGTACGGGTGCCGTAGCTGACATTTCAACTGTCGCTGCTTATAGTGCGTAGTAGTAGTAGTAGTTGTTGTAGTTGTAATTTACTTTTTAGGACTGTTGTCTGGAAAAACCAAGTAATTTAAAGATGTCACCTTGTGCTCTGGGAGATTGTTATGAGCTTTTTCTTGCATTTTCATGTGTCCAAACAATTAATTAATTTTTCCAAGAAATCTATCAATTAATCTACAATTACAGTAATGGTTAATTGAATCCCTAAATGCTATACACCAAAATTGAAATGGTAATTTTATTGCTAACTGATAAGGGATCAGCCATGACATCATATTAAAGCAGTTATTTGTTCAGCGCTGTTGTTGTTACTGTGTTTGCCGCGTTGCCTGTAATTTAATTTAACTGGTAATGTGATTAAAACACAACAGTATATGATATGGACCTTTGATTCTATTGTTGTAGAAAGTTCAGGCTCTTTTGTTTGTCAAGAATCTAATTATAGTTTTCAGTGATGGTGTGGTCAGTGTTGTCCTCTGACTGTGGCAGCAGCAGCGCTACCTGACAAAATAACATACATATAATCTTCAAGGGCCTTAAGGCGTTTTTTAAGGCACTTTTAAACTTTTGAGACCTTTTGTAGCATCAACCCAGACTTACTTTGGGAATTGAATCCCTCCCCCCGCCCAGCTAATCTCACTAATCTCATAGACTTCCACTAATACCCATTGTCAAGATTGTTATTTTTAGAATTGTTATTCTCTGTCTGATAGATGTTCATGGACATAACAGGGGTTTCACATGAGTCTTTAGGGTTTATTATATGCAGTACCATACAATAATATGTCATATTTACATTATTTTTTTTAAACAAAAAATCCAAATCCAGCCCTCAAACCTTTTAATTAAGATTAAGATGGATGGAATCCAGCATGCCCTTTCAATGCATTATTAAAACCCTAGTAGAAAATGTGAAGGGATTACAAATTCATATTAGGAGAGGGATAGCTCATCTGCTTCTTTTCTCTAGCCTGACTTGTTTATTTACAGGGGAAATCATTAAAAATAGATGAGCTCAGATAAATTGAGATTTATTAACAAGGAGAGGAAATTAAGACGGTGTATATTTTTCCGGCCATAGCCCAAAGACGTCTCCCCGAGAGTGTGCAAAAACATAAAAAGATGATTCTCAGGCAGTTTAAACCAGTGTTTATGCAGAATGTCAGATGGCATTTTCTTAAACAGCGAACTACACCGCACTTATGAACAACCTCACTGCTGAGGCTCAACATGTCAGTTTCTAAAATCACAGGATATAACATGATGAGAACAATCAAGCTGTCTTACCTCATCTTGGTAGATGAAGAAAAGCATGATGGACAGAATCTCCAGGAAGAAGATGAGCAGGAGGAGGATGAAGAACTGTGGAGACACAAAGGGAAGAGAGAGGGCATTGGAGTCATTTAACACACTGTTTGTGAATGTGGAGGAGAAAACCACGAGGGGGATAATAGGGTTCTGTCTGTTCAGTATAAGTCGAAGATTTGTATGTGAGAGAGTGAAAGGAAAAAGTAAGAAAAGAAAGAAAGAAATGGCCACAAAGTGTCAAGGAGAGAGTTGGCGAAGTAAGAACGATCGAAGAACTGTGGAGCCATTCGACCTCGATATTTCTAGCTGACAGGTCAAGAGAGCAGAGAGGGAGGGGGAGGAGGGACAATCAGAGCAAGTAGGACAGACTAGGAAAGGTGATATACAGTTTTCCTCTATCCACTTTTGAATTTGTTAAAGGAGACACGTATTATTCCTCGCCAGTCCCCACCCACTCCTCCTCCTCCTCCTCTATGGCGACCGGGATAAGCTGCCTGATGGGTGATACATCTTGTTCCTGTGGCCCCGTGTGAGTGCTTAAAACAGTTACGAGCTCATCCATCAACTACTCTGCTGGGACACGGCTCTGTCTCTCACACATGGGAGTGACTGTCTGAACCGGGGAGGGCTGAAATATTTTTGAGAGACAATGTTACAACGTTGCAGACGGTCACTAAAAGATCTGGATGAAATGGCTTTAGATTATTAGCCATTAACCGTGCTGCATTTTGGAGAACAAGGCTTATAAACTTCTTTTATCCCAGAGTCTACTGGCGTCATAGCTCTAAGGATGGCGCTGGATTGGTCAGTCTGTCGGAGGTCGAATCTACTACTGTGATGATCCCAACTGCAGAAAGAAAACCAAGATGATTTTCACACAAGTTCTGTAATTAGAAATAACGTCTTTTTTCTTTTAGATAATTTCTAAGCAGATTTGTGGATGTTTATTCATTAAAATACAAGCTTCATAATGAGGTGTGACAGAACGTATAAGACAAGACAGCAGAGCAGTACAAGTACAACTCCTCCAACCCGAACAAACATACAGGTTGTTTCTTCCTCTGATACGAGCCATAGGAGTGTCCCCTGAAATAGCCCCCCTTATGGCGGCAGGCGTACCGGACCCTGGTTGTCATGGTTACAGTATTAAACACGCGGACTGCACTGACCACCTAATGTTCATGGCTTGGTTAGGTTTAGGAAAAGATTGTGATTTGTGTTCAAATAAGTACTTTGTCAACATTAGATGAGCTCTGTTGTCATGGTTACAATAATAACAACTGACCGGCATGGACAATAGAAACAACATAAACTGCAAATTTCACATGGGAATCAAACACACCGCTCTCATGTGTCACATTCAACCATCCACCACCACCTCCTCCTGACGTGGACTCTCTCTCTTTATCCTACATCACCGACACTTTTCCCTTTGCTTCTGTCATCATTACTGCGACCACTAGATGTTGCCTAGTTTAGGTTTAGGTTAGGTTTAGGTTAGGTGTTTTACAGGACAGTCTTGTATGTTAGCATGTTAACACAAACCTAAGAGAGTGAACATGACAGTCAGTATATCTGTAAAACATCAGCATGTGTGCTGACATTAGCATCTCGCTCAAAGCACTGCTGTGTACAGCCTCTCAGAGCTGCTGCCGTGGCTACGACTCCTTGTCTTGTTGTTTTTGAGGGTGATGCATAGGAAGCACGAGACCATCTCACAGGGTCAGAACAGATTTCTAAAGTAGAGATGTTGTTTTTCAAAGACATCATAGCTACAAGTCCTCTGTGTATTCCAGGCGTTTGCTCGACAGTAGATGTGACGGTTGCTAGTTCACAAGACTGGCATTGAGCAGGGCTGTCAGTTGCCCCCGAGGTCTTTTGGCAGCACCTGCATGAATGAATCACTAAGCTTGGAAAGGATGAAAGCCTCGGTGGCAACACTGGAAAGTGAGAGACCGACTAGGTAACAAACTGATGGCAGCACACAGCCCACGGTGTGTTTGACTCTCTTCTGCTGTTTTCAAGAGTTGCTCTTGAATAAGCATCTGAAATCAATTTCTATTGTTCTGTCAAGCTTCATTTTTATGATCGATATGCCCTGTATTGTATAAGATTTCAGGTAACCCCAATTTGGCGGGATTCGTAGGTGTTCTCTGAGGTGTGGGTTCATTTAAACTTAAGAAATATGTTCCACTTGAGAAAATCCAACCCCTCAGGCTGATGAATCTTTTAACAACCCACTGGATAATGTCAAAATGTAATGCAGTCAAGAGAAGAAACTATGCTGTTTTCTCTCCAACTCTGAATATTTGACATCATGGAGATACACATTCTACCCCTGACAGTCACAATATTTGACTTTTTTATTATTTACCATACTTCTACGACCAAGAAGAAGATAGTTTAGAAAAAAATACTGTAAATACCGAGAGAGACCGACTGACCGAGTCAGAGATTTACAAAAAATGGCAAAAATCAAGTTTGAATTGGTGCCATTTCGGCTCTTTGTGTCATTTCTTGACCTGCTATTGATCTTTTGAAGGAATATCTTTTTCCTACAACAGTCTCAAGAGAGTGAAGGGTCAGCTGTGCAACTACACTACTTGAAATTCACATTTATTATCTGGTCTAGAATTATAGACCAGAATCATGTTGCAACAGGCATTTCTTCCTATTGGATTGTTTCTTCCCACTTAGAGTTCACTCTATCGATTCTTGGCCACTAGAAGCAGACAGACCATGAATCCATGTGACAGACAAACTGCCCTGACAAATTATCACTGAGCTGAGTTCTCATGGAAATATAACAGCAAACTATTGCTACCAAATGCTAATTATTTAGACGTCCAGCAGAGGAGCATAATAATCACACCGAGCTGCCATCTCATTTTCACCTCATCTTTCAGTCTGACACACATACCAGCAAGTTTCTGTAACTATCCAGTCCACAAAGACGATGTAACATTTGTCTAATTGATAGAAAAATAATCACAAATTAAAGGTCCATATTTTACACTTTTCTGGTGTTTTATTTAAAGATATCCATAAGAGGATGTGGTTTTAAGCTCTAGTAACAACAGGTTGGTGAGCCAATCAGAAGAGAGGAGGCTCTGAGCCTCTCTTCTGATTGGCTCACCGACCTGTTGTTGTTTTTTGAGTGATCCAATAAAAATAAAGCAGATTTCAGGTAAAAACACTCAGAGAAACCAAATCCTGCAAGGTTTGGATGGTGGGTCCAGGTGGGCGGGGCTTGGTGACTGCTTTGTTGTGACATCACAAAGTTCCAGAAGTCCTGACGGCTGGTTTTAAGGCTCAGTTTCTGAATACAGGCTGTGTGCATTTCTCTGTGGACTGAGGCTTTGATACTTTCACAGTATTAATATAGAATCCCATTTTGTTGTCACAGTTGTTCTGGCTCCGACAGAGGAAAATGATTCTAATGTGCCTACAAACTTTGGATCTGCTCAGGTCCTTCTCCACCTGAGAAAATTGTCAACAGACACAACAAAAGAACAATTTGATTCACTGAAAGAAAATAACCAAACAAACAAAAAAACATCAGATGTCGATGGCAACTCAGAAGTGTGAAACCAGGCATCCGGCAGAAGCTTTTATTTGGAGCCATGTTTCCAGGTTTCCAGACAATCGATCTGACAAATGAAATACCCAATATTCACTTTTCTTTTCGCTCTGGTTGGTCTGCAGCTTCAAGATGGTGGCATTTCTTCCCCAGCTAGTTGTGTACTTTGTTTATTGTTTGCTGCTGGGCAGGTAGAGCACAGTGGGTTCCTCCGAATGTTTTTGCTGAAAACAGCTGCCTGCTGCAGCTGGACACATCACTCACAGTCCGTTGATTTAAAGTTGCTATAAGAATGTTCTCTACAATCTTCAGCTTTAATACGTTGCTGTTTCACTTATCGATATTTGATTAATCTCTGACGGCTCCTGGGCACATCACTTGGTTTTCCTAAACCTTTAAACTTTAACCTTAAAAAAAACTATAAAATAACCATTAAAGCTGCAGAAATTTTCATATTCCTCATTCTCTCTCCTTACCACCATTTTACTCCCGGCCTCTTTATAGCGTTCTTGGGTGTTTCTTCAAGACCGTGAAATCACACCAGAGAGCAAAGGGACATTGTTAAGAATGAGAAACTGATACTCACCAGCATTTAGAAAACAAACAGACCCATCCCCCGTGGCTCTCTGAATATTTCCCCATTAATCTGCTCTTAATAAGAAATTTCACTCCTCTTCGTTAGTGCACAGGCAATAGTCAGACTCAAAAGGATAATTTGATGGCAGAAAACTGCATTTTGCATTTATAATACACTACAAGAAAGCCATCGAATTAGCTTTAGGAATTTCACACTGCTGCATTGAATGTGTTGCCATTATCAAATGGGTTGCGGAAATTAACTGTAAATGATAACAATCCATCTGTGAACTGTGTAGAAAGGCCAGTAATAATAAAAGCAATAACAGTGTGCTAATTAAGTCAAGTGCAGAGGAATTGTTCTGCAGGAGCGGCGTCAGGATGAAACATTATTCATTTAAAAGAACAGATTCAACTTCAAGTCGTGTTTATGATCATAAAAATATCCAAACAGCTTGTTGAACATTTGTCCTCTCTGAGTGAAAAGGAGTTTTTAATTGAGACGTTAAATAAAAAATAGAATAATTTGTTCCAAATGACTTTGCAAGGCTGTTGCATAACAAGACTGTAATGACAAAGTTGTTTATGTGACACACGCAGAGCAGGCAGTGGAAATACATTTGCATCTGCTCTCCTGTTGTAATCGTGGTAGCGTGTGCTTAGAGTGAGGTTTGTGTAAATGGACGTGGACACGGTATATATCTCAGAAATTGAAGCAGGGCTTGTTTTGTTGTGTTGTGCACTTGGAGTCTCACTGTGATAAATTATTATAAACAAAAACTCAGATCCCATTACAAAAGGACCAAAGCAGGCTCAATATGTTTTCCCTGAGTTGTCATTATTCAAACTGAAATACGTTATTTTGTTTGCAGCAGTGGCTTCCAGCAGCATAACTACA